AGGGAAAGTGTTGAGCAAGCAGTTGGCTGCCCACAGTCACTCAGAGAAGAGGTATGGAGTAGATATAAGTGGAGTCAAGAGCACACACGTGGTCGTTGAGGCCCTGGGCATGGATAACCCGTGGAGGGGCAGAATACAGAATGAGAAGAGGGGAGGAACTTTGAGGCTTTAGGACCATCAACAATTAATGGCTGGTATAGGATGATGAAGTGGCAAAGGAGTCTGATAAAGAATGGCTAGAGGAAGAAAACCCAGGAGTATGTCTGGGGTGGGGGAGGGGGAGGGGCAAGGGGGTTTCTCAAAAGATAAGGAGAGAGATTTCCTAAAGGCATGAATAGCCAGTGATGTCTTTTGAAAGGTCAAGTAATCATAGGGACTGAAATGTCAACAAGAATTTATCAGCAAGGTCATCTGTGACCTTGAGGAGAGCTGTTTCTATGAATTAATGGTGGTGGGAACCAGAAAATAAAGATGGCAAGTATCATCAACTTTTCTGAAAACTTTGGTTGCAGTGGAGAGATAAGGTGCCAGTCGAATGGATTTGTGTGATTAGGCTATGAACTGTTTTTTTTGTTTCTGTTTTTGGTTTTTTTAAGTAGGCTCCATGCCCAGCAGGGAGCCCAAGGCAGGGCTTGAACTTAGGACCATGAGATCAAGAGTCAGATGCTTAACCAAATGAGCCACCCAGGCACCCCTAGGCTATTCATTTTTTTTTTTTTGAGAGAGACCAATTGCACATGGCGGGTGGGGGAAGAGGGAGAGGGAAAGAGAGAATCTTAAGCAGGCTCCACATTCAATGCAGAGCCTACGCGAGGCTCGATCTCAAAACTCTGAGATCATGACCCCAGCCAAAATTAAGAGTCCGACACTTAACCGACTGAGCCACCCAGGCCCCCCTGGGCTATTAATTTTTAAGAAGCTTATTTTTTAAGATGAAAGGGGTTTGAACATGGAAAGGAGGGGAAACCAGTGAAGCAGGGATTTGATCACAGAGGTAGGAGAAGAGACAGATGACAGTAACAGGGAACAGCAATTATAAAAGTTAAATCTTGATTCAGTCTTAATTAAAATGAAAAGAAATAGGTTCTGGGGCATTTGATAAGAAGATTTCAAAAGAAATAACCTTGTTGACATAGGTTGGTCATTCAAAATACTATCCTGGTTGTTTCCCTTATCAGCAAGAAAAGGAAGAGAAGGTCGGAGAATATTTCCATTCCAATGACCAAGGAACTGCCTTAGCAACCATCTAGAAAAGGTTTTTTTAAGTTTCAAACTTTACACGCTATGTCTTGTTACCATAAATCACAGCTTCTCTCTTTAATCTTGTTTTATTAAAAAAAATAAAAAAAGGCAAGAGGCTTTCAAAGACATTTAACTCTTAACTCCAAAATTCTGTTTGATCACCCAGATCTTAACCTCTCATCATAAGACTAATGTATATCATACATAAAAGGATACCTGTTTTAAGAAATTGCTTTTTTTCTTTAGGCTATATGATACGGTTATTTTAGAAAATTAATTTTCTCATTTAATCTCTAGTTGAACTCACCAGCCTTATGTTAATTGTACACAGAATTACATGTAGGTATAGTTATAGGTGTAGATACAGAAAGAGATAAAGACGTAAACACAGTCCTATATAGTCATAGGTATAGGTATACATTTACGTATAAATATAGATAAAGCTATGATAGCATATGGGTTCCTCTGCTGGTAAAAGAGCTTGAGACCCTTTGTAAGGCCACTTACATCATGCCTGTAATAGATTTTATTTATTAATTTTTTATTTTTTATTTTTTTTAAGATTTTTTTAATTTATTTGAGAGAGAGAGAGAGAGAATGAGATAGAGAGAGCATGAGAGGGGTGAGGGTCAGAGGGAGAAGCAGACCCCCTACTGAGCAGGGAGCCTGATGCAGGACTCGATCCCGGGAGTCCAGGATCATGACCCGAGCTGAAGGCAGTTGCTTAACCAACTGAGCCACCCAGGCGCCCCGCCTGTAATAGATTTTAATCTAAACAGGATGTCAACACAAGTTTTTAATCCAAACACAACTAAGTTTGATTTTTCCATATTTTATAAGAAAGGAACAACTGAGGGATGGTGTGATGCATGGTGTCAAAGGCCATGGAGAGGTCAAGGGGGAGGAAAGTTGAAGAAAAGGATCCACTCTGACAATGGCTGGGAAGTCTGGTGGTCTTTTCAAATGTGTTGCACAGGCAGGGGTGTGTGAGCGAAAATGAAATCTCTGGAAAAGATCAGGTGATGGGAGAAATGAAGGTTCACAAAATGAAGAACAGGAAGGGTGTGTGAGAGAAAATGAAATCTCTGGAAAAGATCAGGTGATGGGAGAAATGAAGGTTCACAGAATGAAGAACAGGAAGGAGAGCAAGAGTGTCATTATTAAGGGGAAATTCTCTTGCAGGAGCATGGGAAAAGAGAGAAGATGACCAACATATAAGTGAGGGATGGGGGAAATATTCTTAGCATTGAGCTATTAGCTAGTATTAAAAATCATAGTCCCCATTTTTATATTTTTTGACCTATTTTCATTTTCTTTGTGTTCTTCTGGGAACAAAGATCTCTTTTTGAAGCCTTTGCTTCCTCTTATCATTTAATAATTGCTCTTTTTCAGTCCTAGGAATGCACTGGCATTAAAGGTAAGAAACAGAAGCTGTACTCTGAGCTCTTCCAAAGAAAAGCACTTTAGAAATCAAAGGCATTGCTATATTGTTATTATTCCCTCCTTTCCCTGAAAGCTTGGCATGACATTAGCTCTGATACTCAAAGAGGAGTCTTTCAGTTTAGCCATTATATTAATAATCTGTGCCTCTAAAAAAGGAAAGGATATCTAAACTGATCAACCTAGTCCAATAATCGTCTCTTTCCTTTAGTTCTGGTGCTATGGATCTGATCCAGGAACCAGAAATAGGAGCACTGTGACTCATTTTATCTTCCACGTAAATTACATCCAACAATGCATAAATTGTAAGGGCATATAGCCAAGCTCTACCAGTTCTGCGCAAACAGAGATGCACAAGCTCAATGGGCATTGAAAGCATGAGATATTAACTCATGAATAATCCTTCTGTGTTCTTACACAGTTACATAACCAGTTGTTTATTGTAATGATAATTTACATCAATATTGGAATAATAAATAGAAGATGAACATAAGATTTTAGAAATAAGTAATAAATATTCCTAAGTACAAGTTATTATCTATCAAGACAAATTGGGTGGATCTTAAAATCCTCAGGAAACAATAGTAACTAGCAAAACTCCTAGATAATATTTTGCCCAATAGGTAGCTCCATGAAAGGTGTCACTCATAGAGACATATCTAAATACTGCCTGAGGGGAAAGAAGGTTTTAAACTAGAAACATAATCCATACTTGGCAGTTCATATAATTGGAAGTCATCTATAGATGAGGAGGTTTAAAAAGAAAATTTTTTAACAGAAGGTGGGTGTAATTCCAAGTTGTAATTGTTCAATGTGTTTAATAACTATACATATATAAATAATATATAATATATAAATATATATAGAGAGAGAGATGCAACATGTGTGAAAAAAGCAACTTGAGCTCTTTGTGTCTATTAATCAACTGAATTTATTTACATCCTTGTAAGCCAACCTAAATTGTAATAAAGGACATTTATTTTCAAATATTTCCATTATTTGGAAATAAAAGAGACATTAAAAGCCTACACAATAGATGACAATTTTAGGAAATAAAACAATCTAATGCTAAACAAGCACATTGTTTAATAACTCTTTTTTCCAATGGTTAAATTGGGAAAATAAGTCCCATTGGAACATGGAAATATTTGGTGAAGATATTCTGAGGATTGAAAACAACAACAGTTTTGGATACCTTAAAGCAAAACCAAATCAGAGACTTATTTTTCTTTGTGTGTTAGAGATGGCATAGATTATAGGAGTTCTGCACATATGTCTGCTTCTTTGAAGGTCAGAGTGTAGGCTCCATGTTTTGTTCACTGATACATCCCAAGATATTAGAACAATATCTGGCACGCAATAATCACATATTAAGTTAAATGGTTGTTGACATTCCCAGCATGGATTTGGTAGAACAAGGTGCCCCGCACATGGTCTATAATTTTAGTTATAATTATTGATCTCAACAACAAAAATACAAAAGTAGAAAACACCCACTTATCCCTTAAAGTTTACAAAGAACTTGCAACTCATATTCCCATCCAGTCATCTGGGTTCATCACTGCCTGGAAGCGGTGGTTTACCAGGAGCCCACAGTGGAGCCCTGGGGCCTGTTGCTTCATTCCATTCTCTCCTCTGCCACTTGTGGGTTGAACTGTGTGCCCCCAAAACTCAGATGCTGAAGCCCTAACCCACAGGGCCTCAGATGTGACCTTACTTGGAAAGAGGGTCATTACAGATGTAATTAGATATGTTAGGATGAGGTCATACAGGATGGAGTCGGATGGGCCGCATATCCAATATGACTGGTGTCCCCTTAAGAAGGGCAAATGTGGACACAGACATGCACTCAGGGAGGACATCACATCAAGATAAAGGGAGAGATCTGGATGATGCTTATACAGACTTGGAAATGCCAAATGGTGCCTGGAAACCACCAGAAACCAGGAGAGAATGTGGAACAGAGTCTCCCTCCCAACCCAAAGAGAGAACCAACCCTGCTGACACCTTGATCTTGGACTTCTAACCTTTGAAACTGTGAGAAGCATTTTTGTTAAACCACCCAGTTTATGGGACTTTTTGTTACAGCAGCCTTTAGCAAACTAACACAACTACCTACTCCTCGCACCTTGTCAGATTTCCTTCCAGAGGCACTGGTAGCCTGACCTCATTCCCACTGAGCACTGTCTTGTTTAGCTCTCAGAATTCACAAGATCTCCTCCAATTTATTCCAAAGCTCCCGCAACGATACATTGTCAATATCCAATGCATTCTTCCATTACGTTACATAGCAATTACATCTGACACATTTCCCTTACCTTCTGCTTGCTCCCGTGCTTGGGGTGGTGCTGTAACCTGGAGGAGGTGGTGGAAACCAGGACTGTCTGTTAAGAAACAACATCAGTTATAAACATGGCGCTTGAAAGACCTGATCCCACCCACATGTCTACCAGGAAAAGCTGAAAATAATTTGACAGCTAAACGGCACTGAGATGACTTTTCTACAAGCCTTGGAAATAAAATTAAGACTATTTCATAAACTCAATAGGAAATAACTAAAATAACTATACTACAGTCTAGGCTCTCTGCTCCCCAAGTAAGCTCCCTTCCCCGTTTTCTTGACACTAAAATGTGGACATTTCATTAAAAAGAAATGTGAAGAGAATCTGGAAAATAATATTTGTTAAATCTAGCTCGTGGGTTGATGGGTGTTTATCATCAACATACCTCTTTTTCTATTTTCTGCATAACTGAAATATTTTATAATCAAAACCAATCGTATGCTCTATTCTATATTTAGAGTTTTTTAAAAGCTCCATGATAATGGGGTGCCTGGGTGGCTCAGTTGTTAAGCGTCTGCCTTCAGCTCAGATCATGATCCCAGGGTCTTGGGATCAAGCCCCCCGTCGGGCTCCCTGCTCCGCGGGAAGCCTGCTTCTCCCTCTCCCACTCCCCCTGCTTGTGCTCCCTCTCTCGCTGTCTCTCTTTCTGTCAAATAAATAAATAAAATATTTTTTTTAAAAAAAGCTCCATGATAAAAAGAAAACTCTGAAAGTAAGAGTATTGAAAACATAAGTGAACACCCCACTAATGCTAACCTCAATTATGTAAACATATATATGTATTAATGCATATATACAAACACATATATATCCAATTAGAAAGATGTCTTCACATTACCAGGACTTAATTTTAATTGATAGAGATAGCTTAGGGGCTATGTCAGAAAGACTTAGATATGGACCAAAAATGAAGATGTTTAGAGGAGAGTGACATGTCAGAGGAAAGTCCAGGGAAGGAAAGGCTAGGATAAAGAAGCCAGGATAGCTGGCTTTAAATTCTTGAAGCAGGTCTATTCTCTGAGGCACCACAGGACTGAACTAAGAAGAGATGGGCATAAATTTCAACTCAATGTAAGTAGTCGATTCTACTCACAAGAGCTAGTACAATGTATATCACAAAAGTAGAGTCTTACTGCTGGCTTCAATGATCCTGAATTATGCTTAGCCTGTCAGAGGAAAGATTCTTGCTGTGGGGAGGAGATGTGAAATTTGGGTCCAAGAGAAAGGTGATCACATTTTCTTAAACTCCGCAGACACAACCAGAATTCCAACTGCAGGAGCGTTTTGGCAATCAGCCAGTCCATCAACAAACATTGAGCACCTACCCAAACTAGGCATGGTCTTAGGTGCAGGCAAAGAAAATAAAAACATTTTAAAAAGCACTGAGATTCATGAATGCTTGTTTTCCATTTGATCATGATTCACTAGCACTGTGTTCTCTCCAACAAGCAAAAATTGCTTCGCCCATCTACATTCTGTCTCATGAAGAATATTCTGCCACCACAGGTCTAGCTACTTCTCCATGCCTACTAGATAAATAGAAGTGTCAAGATGGGGACTTTGACTCTGTACTTGGAAGTAGGGTCAACCCAATCAACAGAGCAGAGAAGGCTGCAAAGATGCAGGGAGATTTCAGGAGCGTGGCAACATTTGGCCACCCCACAGTTGTAATTATTTCAGGGTTAGGCATTCCCTGTAGTAGGACTCTACTAAAGGTGTTACCTGAAGTAGCTTATTCTTTGCTGAGCTCTGTCATCGAAAACATTACTTAGATATTCTAGACCCCAAGGGACCTAGAGAAAAGACTGCATATTTGTTTGTTTATTAAGATTTTATTTATTTATTTATTTATTTATTTGAGTGTGAGCAGGGAGAGGAGCAGAGGCAGAGGGAGAGAGAATCCACAAGCAGACTCTACACTGAGCAAGCACAGAGCCCCTCTTGGGGCTGGATCTCACAACCCTGAGATCATGACCTGAGCCGAAATTAAGAGTCAGACGCTTAACTGACTGAGCAAGACTGCACATTTGAAATGGAAATGAGGAGGCAAAGGAACAAAGTTTGAAGACAGCAGAATCCAGTGGCTCTGGATCCCTGGAAAGGGAGGAGGGAACAAGATGAGAGACCAATTTCTGAATGCCACCGGGGGTCCTGGTGGATGGTTTGGTTCAGAAATTAATAAAGGACAGTCCTCTACAGAATGCCATCATGAAACAGATGCAACCAGCCCATCATACCTCTTTTTCTTTACAGGAGTTGTAGCAGAGGTGGGAGCCGGGGTGCTGGTGGTACTGTCATTGAACGAAACTCCAGGCTGCCTGTTTAATCACAGCCAAAAATCACATTCTTGAAATTTTTTATGCTGTCCCACCTTTGAAAGGTCTTATCATCTACTCATATTCCCACCTGCTCTTCACCCACCACAACATATTTCAATAGACAAAAGAAGAAGAGAAAACAAGTCCTTCCTTAGTTTACCATTTTATAAATCGTCAGGTCTTCATCTAAGTAACTAGAACTGAAGGAAGTGAAAGATATCATTCATTATATGACATTGTGTGTCTGAAATCCAGACCAATAAATTCTGATGTGCTCTGGATTCATATTATATATTTAATCCTGTGTATATTATGACTAACATAATTATATTGCAATTTTTTTTGCATTAAAAGCATTAGATTGTTTAAGAAAACATTTAAAAAATCACACCATTTAAAATCTCTATTTAGCATTTATTAATATACATAGACCTCCAAAGGGAAAAAAAAAGGACGTAACCAAGCCTGTTTCAATGACTGAGAGGTGTGGTCCAAGGTGAAAATTACTTTATTTGTAAATACAAATTTAAAAACCAATTCTGTTTTCAAAAATCCACCTAGTTTGGCTGTTTATAATCACTAGTAGTACGTTTCAGAAAAAGGTACTTCATCTGAATTGATTGCTAGCAAACCTATGATTTCATGATTCAGTTGAATTGTAATGTGATGGGGGTTTTGAAAGACAAGTGATACAGGGGAAGAAAGTTAGTGGCCATAAGAACAGGGAAAAATAAAGGTCTGTGGAGGAAAAAAATTAAAAATCAAATGGGTGATGGGCATTAAGGAAAGTACTTGTTATGATGAGCCTGAGTGCTGTATGTAAGTGATGAATCACTAAATTCTACTCCTGAAACCAATATTATACTGTATCTTAACTAACTGGAAATTAAATAAAAAGTAAGACAAAAAATAAAAAGAAAGAAAGAAAAGAAGAAAAGAATGACTTAAGTTCAGGTGTTTGGTTAGAGCAGAGGTTGATAAACTTTTTCTGTTAAAATCCAGATGGTAAATATTTAAAGCTTCATGGACCATTTTCTTACTTCTACTAAACTCTGCCTAAGCAACAGGAGTGTGGTTTTATTATAATGAAACTTTGGCCTGAGGGGCATATACCCTGATTTTTCTTGAATGCAAACAAAGAAATACACTTTATTCTTAAAATGTAACTTCAGTCAGAAAAATACATACATCTTTGTTACTTCTGGTGATCTAAACGTGGACATGTTTCTGGTAAAAAGAAAAAAAGGTAAAAGTTTGAGCAGCAACAAAGAATGAATACTTGCATCGATATGCAATTGTCCATGAATTTAGAGTTGTTATTTAAAGTTAGACATTATTTGAGAGAAAGAGAAAGAAAGCATCAGTATTTGAATAAATTTGATAGGGTGATTTCATGATTTTTTTGTCTTGTGCTAGATTCTAAAGGAAATCATTTTATTTCAGAAAATTCAGTTATCGTTTAAGTTCAACATTTTTATTTGTTGGGTTCAGTAATTTTCTTTAGCAATAAGAATGTAAAATTGGCATTTACATGTATTTCATACTCTTGCCACCAGGATAACTTAAAACAAAAACATGAATGTGGTGAGAATGATGACCTGAAGCAATGAACTCTCCCAATTTTTAAGCAAGGCAACAGGGATGCCTGGGTGGCTCAGTTGGTTAAGCATCTGCCTTGGGTTAGATCGTGATCCCAGGGTCCTGGGATTGAGTCCTGCATTGCATTGGGCTACTTGCTCGGCGGGGAGCCTGCTTCTCTCTCTACATGCCCCTCCCCCTGCTTGTGCCCTCTCTCTCTGACAAATAAATAAATAAAATCTTTTAAAAAAATTAAGCAAGGCAACAAAGATTTTCTAGTTCTCTAACCATGAGGAGGAATAAAGGTATATACTCTAGCATTTTTGTGTTTAAAAAATGGAGGAAAAGAATTTACAGATAGATATCAAGTAGGACAGAAGAATTGTAAGTAAATAAGTTATGCTTAGAAAAATATTGTACTTGGGTCTTTCCCAAAGTCAATAGATACTGGTACCTATTGGTCAGTCGGTTATCCAAGGTATTGGCCTTATGTGTTTTAGCAGCATCATTTCTGTCTGAGATCCTTTATGAAGAAACAAGACACAAGTTTGGATGAACATTTAGATCATTAAAGTCCTTTCAGACCTCTTTCATGAAAGAATAACTCCACAATATAACCTTTTGCTGGTAAAGAGATTTGTTTTCAGGTGTTACATTTTAGATATTTTGCAATTAAAAAAAAAACTACTTAAGACAAAATCTATTTATGAGGCTATTCTGACACAGTTTGGAATTTTTAAGATTTATGCCTTTCTACTAGATACTCTGATTCATTGAGCATTTAACCCACTATTTTATATTCATTATTGTTAATAACACAGTTGACCCTTGAACCACATGGATTTGAACTGCACAGGTTCACTTACATGCAGATTTTTTCGATAAATATAGTATGGTACTGTAAATGTATGTTCTCTTCTTTATGATTTTCTTAATAACCATTTTCTTTTTCCTAGCTCACTTTATTGTAAGAATTCAATTATGTATAACATAAAAATATGTGTTAATCAACTGTTTATGTTATCGGAAGGCTTCCAATCAATTGTGGGTTATAGTAGTTAAGTATTGGGGAGTCAAAAGTTATATGTGAATTTTCGATTGCACAGCACCCATAAACCCTGTATTGTCAACTGTACATGCAGTCAATGACAGTGTGCTTGCCAAGTCCGTAAAAGGCATCAATGGAAGACAAGTATTTTTTAGATATTTTGTGGCATAGACAATGCTATATGTTTGCCAAACTAATTTTCTTTTCCTTCTGAGCACACAGGAAGACCACATTTCCCATTCTTCACTGCAATTAAGTTGGGACCATGTGATTGAATTCTAGACTAAAGAATGTGGGCAGAAATGTTTGCTACTTTCAGACCCATCATAAAACCTCTTGTGTGATCCTCCTTGCTCTTTCTTCCTCTTCCCACTATGGTTTTGTTGTTCATGTGTTGAAGATGGTAGCATCAAAACATGAACTTAGGTCCCTGAGTCACTTCATGGAGCTGAGACATCCCCTATTTTCCAGCCCATCACACTGGACCCTGAAGAGAGTGAACAGTAATCCTTTATTGTGCTAAACTACAATAGATTTGGGGGCAAGAGAGGGAACTTGTTAAAAGAGTTCTCTACCCTGGTGAATTAGTTTACTTTGACTAACACATTTGGTTAATAGCTTCTACTGGCCATCAGAGGTTTTAATCCCTCAAATATCAGGTCTCCTCAAGGAGGTCACATCTGGAAAAGGTGTATTTGTCCCCTGTGTCAGAAAAGACAAATCCTGTGGTCTCCATGCCAATGGTGGGTTCTCATGACTGCAGACCCTCCTTCCCTTCCTTCCCTCACATCAGAGAGGAAGGTTCTTCCTAAGACATGGGACTATCCCCTAGAGCATTCTGCAGGCTTGCACAACATGAGGATGTAGCAAAATTAGGCTCAGGAAAACAAAAGGTCAGCAAAACCTTTCTGTTGATCCAACACTATGGGTCTACTATAACTTTCTCTAAACTTTTAATTTTACCATCAGCTTTAGTACATGGCTTTATATAAACTATTCCTGCGAAGATGGGCACTAACTTTTCCTCACTCTAAAAAAAAAATTAATGTGGGGAAAACATACGACTTAACTGTCATAAGTTTAAAATGATTTCAATTCCTAATGTCATCTTGATATGTGTAACTAAAACATTGGGTAAATAACTCTAATACATTAAAAGGCTATAAGTCAACTCCAAACATGTTTTTGTTTATAGCACATAATGCCACAAACTGATAACACTTGAATGGAAAAAGGAAGGAAGACTGAAATCTTCCAGAACTCCATATTCTCAACAAACCATTCACAATCCAGGCATTAACTTGTACAGGCTTCTAGAAGCCATGTATAAAAAACTCATGTCTAAGGTGATGATCAGGCCAAGGACCGTGACTATATCACCAGCGCTAACTGCTACTGAGCCTCTGAAATGTTTATATTTAAAGGGCTCTGCAGTAAACCACTGTGAGTACCTTAAGTAAGAGGTCAGGTAACCCTAAATCTTTAATCTTAAATGTTCCTTGGAAACTCTCCTCAGACTTTATAGCTGTCATGAGACCCTAACATGAGATAAAAATAATCTTGGGAAATTGTTACTCTGGTTTGCTGAAAACAGCGATCTGTCTAAAGCAAACAGAACCTTAATACCAAACATTCTCGAGGTTCACATTAAGGCAAGTTCTGATGTTAAAATTAAATGAAGTTAATAAAAACTCTACAGTGTAAGCCTATGTGGACAATACTGCATGTAATAATAAAAATAGCTACCTACTCTTTGCTGCTTATTATATACATCTTCCTCTACACTTTAAAATATCCTTACAAGGGAGGCGTAATTATTTTCATTTTATAGATGAAAAAGTGGAGTCTCAGAGAAGGTGAATGGAGTCTCGAGAAGACTTTCTCTTGGCCAACCAGCTAAGAAGTAGGGTATCTCCAAAGTCTTCCCAGTAGGGTCCAACGTCAGACATCTGATTCTGTAGTGTGATTGTTTCAACACTCATATATTAGGTCAACAGGTCTTCCTGCACTTACTAGTTTTCACCTTCACTATCTCTTCTGTGCTACTAGGGGCATCAGTGTATGAGTAATAATGGAGGGAACTCCAACCTACCATTCCAATACATATGTCAATTTCTTCTTACTTAGGGAGATTAGCTTTGTATTTCTCTTGAAAATCAAGTTTCTGCCAACTTGTGATGTGAAATAGGTTGTTTTGATACATGTCAGTCTCAGAGACAGGGAATACTCAAATACAGTCATTTAGCAGTATGATCAAAAGAACCAGAGGAAAAGCTACACTTCCACAAGAGAACACCAGAGGGCACCACAACGTAGGTTTTCCAAATTAGTCATTAGAGAGCCTTGAGGATTTGGGCCCTATTGAATGCTACATACATCAGTATTTACTTATGTTTCTTTAGAACACCTCACACTTTTACCTACATATATATTTTAAAAAGAACTTCAAATATAAAGTCAGTACTTTTCTTATATTCATTTAAAAATAAATGCATTATTATGGGGCACCTGGCTGGCTCAGTTGGTGGAGCATGTTGCTCTTGATCTCAGGGTTGTGGGTTCAAGCCCTACGTTGGGTGTAGAGACCACTTAAAAAAAAATCTTTAAAAAAATAAAAATTAAAAATAAAACAATTGCATTATTGAAATACATACATACGTGCATACCAGATATATTTGGTCATCTTCCTCCTAAAATTATGTCCTATCTCACATTTGGAGTGGCCAGCATTATGAAAAGTCTGACTCCTGATAGGACTTGCCTTTCTTTACTGATTCCTGAGTTCTCTCCCTCACATCTATTTCCACACTTAGAGAGATGTGGCATACTGTTGGGACTCAGGACTGCCTCGGGAATGAGCTGACCAAACACGCCACTAAACCTCTGTGTAAATAAAGCAGGTCACCTCTGGCCTCATTTTCTAGGGTATAAAATGAAGAAGGATTTGGGCTAGATTGGTGGTTCTGAACTTTGGCTGCACACTAGAATCACTTCATAAGCTTTAAAAATGTCCGAGTCCCACCTCAGACTAATTAAATCAGAATTTTGAGGGTGAGAGGTGGTGGGACCAAGTTATCGGTAAAGTTTAAAAGCTCTCTTAGTGATTCTAATTTGCAGCCGAGGCTGAGAATGACTCATCTTGTTAGCCTGTGAAGTCTGGTCTAGTTCATTGCTAATGTTCCAAGGCTCTGTCTTGACTGGCCCAACATAGACCTTCAGATACACAGCCTACAAAGGCTTAGGTCTCCCACATATTTACCTTTCTTGAGGCATAATTATCTCCCTTTCAGATTCATTCCTAGAAATAGGGTTTCCGTCTTTAATTAACGGTGCAACAGGACAGCCCACAAGGCCAACATGAATGGACTTATTTTGACTCCTCTCTCCACTCAGTGCTGTGGAGATGAGATCCTGTACATATACTTCTACAAATTCATTTTTTGCGAGGCTATTAATTATAAGAGAGAAATTAACTCCTTAGGCATACCAGTGAGGATTAGCCTCTATTAAGGGAGACTGGCTTGAAAACCTATGAATAGTACATAAGTGTGTACATTTCCTACATGAATTAATACTGGCAAATATAGAATATATTTGAATATATAGAATATAGAATCCACTAGATACCATAAATTCCAGCATGTCTACTTAAAATGCAGCAGGTGGCATTTTTGTCTACAATAGCAGCATATCTTTAGCTACAGGGAGTGACCTCAACGGTCAGTGGCCTCAGGTGTCCATTGTCTAGACTCCAACTAAAAATGTTAACTTTGCACTTTATATATGCTTATTAAGTATCTCTACCAAATATAAGATAAAAATGTGATTTGTAGCATTTACATTTCAATCTAAATAGACATTTCTCGGGGTGCCTGGGTGGCTCAGTCAGTTAAGCATCTGACTCTTGATTTCAGCTCAGGTCTTGATCTCAGGGTTGTGAGTTCAAGCCCTGCACTGGGCTCCATGCTGGGTATGGAGCCTAGTTTAAAAAAAATAGACATTTCTCAATTTTCTCCATAAAGATGAGCCCTTTTCCTCTGTGTAGGAAGGAACTAACAACAGGCACAACACCATGGACCCATTCTACAGGCCATATGGTGACTCTAGTACCACCCACAAGAGTAATTTCACTTTCTAAAGTAAAGAGCCTTTATACTACAGTGGATCAAAACTATGTTATTATTAAAACTTATAGTCTCTCTATAAAAATAGAAACTGTCGTTTTTCCACCAGTGGGATGGAAAGCCCAAAAGTTAGAATAAGAACTGACTACTCATTCACAAAAATAACTAGATTCTCCATTCTAAACTGAACAGATTCCATGTAGTGTCCACCCTACTTATACTCAAACCAGTTTCTTCAAAATTGTTCTTATCAATCTACTATTGGCAGGATTTTGGGAAAATAGCATGTTGAGTCAAGATTTTGTGAATTTTGAAGATGATTCAATCTGAATAGCCCTTCTGTCCCTGGGGATAAAATGTCATGGCTCAAAACTTACCTTGGCAAACATTTAAATACCTCATGGTTGATTAAAAAAATGGGATTTCATATACATTTTGCATCCTGCTTACATGGTTCAAAAACACCTTACCTGTCTAAAGTGTCATCAGATCCATACCGACTAATCATAGCTTTTGGCTCATCTCTCTCATTTGCTTTCCTGTAGCAAAAAATAATTACAGAAAGTCAAATAAATTACCAAAAAAAGTTTATAAAATCTATCATGTCTTTGGTAAAATTTTGGCCTATTTAGGTAGGAGTTGTACATGTTACCAAGGAAAGACAGATTCAGAGTATCTAAATCTTCCAAGGTTTTGACTTGGATAGAATAAATTATGGTGAACCCAACTCCCCCCTGCTACTAAAGGAATTCTTCTCTAGGTCCAATTATTTCTAACTACAATGTAACATATTCAAATTGGGGATAAAGGATAGGCAAAACAAACAACATGACATGCAAAGTGGTTACCAATTAATGTGTACTCTTATCAATACTGTTGACTTCTACATCATAGGAACTCAATCCCTTAAAATCAGATATGTTTTGTTTGCAGAACTTTAGTAACACCGTAAACTAGCTCAACAAGCTGAATACAAATAGCTTTATTTAAAGTTCAGCACCGTGGACAGGGTTGAAAAAAAGAACTTGCTGAACTGAAGGGAGAGGGAAGAAAGGAAAAGAAGAAAACAGGAAAAGCTAGAAAGAAAGAAATGAAGAAAAGAGAGTGTGAGAAGAGAGAAAGGAGAGATGTAGGGATGAGAGGAGAAGAAAAAGGAGATAAGGAGAAGTAGGGAGAAGAGAGACAGAAGGCAAAGAAAGTTGAGGAAGATAGGTGAGCAGAACAAAGGGGAGAGGGAAGAAGACAAGAAAAGAAGGGAAGAAAGGATAGGAGTTTCAATAGTAGGAATCAAGATCATCAAAGCAAATGGGAATATCTTGATCAGACTGATCAATCAGCAAAAACAGGCTGTTTAATGCCTTATATAACCCTGTGATACAGGAAAAGCAAGCTCTTTGATGAATTATATCATGATTTACTGTGTTTGCATTTCAAAGCATCATTTGAAGCTGACAGATCAAAGATACTGAATCTGAAAAAGCACTAAAGCAGTATATGCACTTACAATTTAATTTTTAACTTGATATAGTGTACTTTTATTAAGCAAATATTTGAAGTTAAACAATATATAATTTACTGTGCTGATGACTATGAGGAAGTCAAGAATAAAAAACTATGGAATCTACTCACACAGAACTAGGGAGATAAATTAGATATGTACACCCAAAGGCAGATAGTGGCCACTGTCATAAAAGAGGTTCAGGGAAAGGGAAGGAAGTTCTAAGGTGAGAAAGTTTATTTCTAGGTAAAAGAATCAAAAAGGGCTTCATGGATAAGGCGCAGTTGGAGCTGGGCCTTGGAGGATAAATAGCTGTGAACATTTTCAAATGGAAGCAGAAGGAACAGTGTCCGTTGATGGGAGAAAAAAGTAATGAAAATTGCCTAATGCGATTCCCTCAGTTTTAAAGGAACCTCAGAGTGAAATCATGGTCTAGCCCAGCATTGTGTTGAATGCATGAATGCAAACAGACACTGAAGGGCCATCTGACGCCCTTCTCAGCATCACTTTATGTCTCATTAGTTGGCTTTATTCTTCCTAGCACTTATGGCAACATATCATACTATATTGTGTTTATGTATTTTCAGTCTCTACCCCCCCCCTTCCACCTTCAACTAGGAGGCAGGTTCTATGGAAGCAGGGACTTTGTTTTATTCCCAGTCCTCAGGCCAGTGTCTGGTTCACAGTAGGCATCTCTGCAAGTATTTGTGCTGCCAGGCTTATTTGACAGGTTTAAATGATCTGGCAGAGAAGTACACAGTGGAAGTTCTTAGTTCATGCCTACTATGAAGCTGTTATCTAGGTGAGGAGACTATATTGTTTACCTTCCCTTTCCTTTAGCTTTTTCAGTCTCTGCTCACATGGAGCTTTTTGCACACATAGCCACTTGTAATGGAAGCACTTCTCTCCTGCTTCATGCCCACCAGCCGCCCTTCCTGACTCAGAAACCCCTCCTCATCCTCCTTAGCCAACATGGAAGACACTTTCTGGGTGCCATCTCTGATTAATTCAGGCAGAGTTAGGCTCTCTCGTCTACTCCCAAGGCGCTGTCGCACACTTCTACAATAGCACTTCCATGGTAAATTTTAGTCTTGTAGTCTATGGATCCATGTTTTTCCAGAATGTAAAGTCTCCCTAAGGTCAAGGGCGGTATCCTATGCATCTTCATATTCCCAGCACTTAGCACTATGGCAGCACATAGTAGATGCTCCAAAATGGTGTTAAGTGTCCACCAAAGTGGGTACAGCCTCTGTGAAAGGGCAGAAAATGGCAAAGTAGGCATCCATCTGAGCAAGTGCAAGGAGGAAAATCATCTGCACTACCCTTCTAGGAACATGTATTTTGAGACGCTAGTTATGGGTTAAGGGGAAAACATCTCGGGCTCACACACTTTTGTTACTGAAGATAAAAGTTCAATGTACTGTTTAGCCAGTATATGGAGGGGAGTTAGCCAGTAAAATGGAGGGAGTAATTTCCATGGGTAGCTGGACTAAAATGATCAGACTCCCTTTGGGGGTGAGAGCCACCTGAGAACAAGGTTGTAATCTTCAAAATCATGATGGCCAAGGAGAGGGCAAAGGTAGTCACAGAATAATCAGTCAGATGAACTAAGGCTGAGAACCAGAAAACCAAACAGATACTTTGTGTAGAGAGTTCTAAGCTCAGTACCTTTAGAACAGGTCAAAATTATGAACAGGTTTAGAAGGGTTTAGAAAAATTCATAAATAAAAGTTTCTAAAAAACTCAAGGTGTCTACTTTTTAAAGTCCATGCCATAAAAGACAATCACACTCCCTTACTAAATACATCTTGGTGACAGACAGACACAGGCTACTAGACCAGATAAAACTTGTGTCTGATAAATACTTAGGTTCTTCTGATGGATGTGGTTATTTGTATGTGTGTGAGCATAAATGTGGTTTAACAAGAGTATTATCTACTTGTTTGATCAATCTTAGATTGTTTACATTATTGTGATTATGAGTTTTGTCTGAATTTTTCTACCAATTTGCCTCAGTCTTTTTGCCACTCAGTAGCATTTAATCATTTTTCACAAACCTAGGAGTTTCTAAAAAGAAGTGTACTGCCCATAAAGCAAGTGAACTCTGGGGCTGTTATTTCTATATTTTAGGGTTACTTTTCCTAAGGTTCTGAGATATCTTATCTGGTCACATTTCTGTGGCAGCCCTTTCTTTTTCCCATCCAGAGGGCTACCTCCATGGATTGGTTATTCTATACCCCCAAACTGTGGTTCTAGAGCATGAAGCTGGAGAAGCACAGACTTTGCTCTGTGCAAACTCCTAATGATATCACAGAGTCTTCCAGAATGCCAGGGAAAGCCTGAGGCTAGCCACAAATATTCAGCCTGTCTTGAACAAGCCTTCTCTCAAAACTATTGTCTTTGTGTTTCTGCTAATGATGTAACTTGTCTGAAACACCCACCTGTCCAAGGCATCATGGGAGTTACGTCGGTTGAGCACCACCCTACCATAATTTTCATCTCTGTAAAGAAAGAACAAAACAAAGTCACATGGAAAGTTACCACAGTACTTGGTAAGCACTACATAAGGGAGACTGAAAAGAGCTCACAATTTAGAGCAAGATTAATTCATCTTATTTCAGGCATAGGAACACAACAATACATTTATTTTTACCAGTCTCCCCTTGAAAGAGCATGGTGAAAAGAAACAGGTTTGTCAGTACAAATGATCATTATTCTCATATATCCCATGAGATTTCCATATGATTCAACAATGGAATGAGTGTTACTTTTTTTTCTATCAGAGTGTGGGAACATGTATGTGGACATCTACTTTGTGTACATTATAAGAGTCCTTTTCTGCAGGAAGGTAAAAGCTTTCACAAACATGTCTTAAATATAACTAAGTCTTTTATATGTAGACATTTTCATCTGATGGACTTGATAGTTTTCCTTGACAAAAAGCAGGAAAATAAGTACCAATATTTATGGTTAAGAAGGTGGATCATTCACAGGATATTTGTCCCATTTTTGAACCATGAGAACTGTTTGGTCCTTAAAATAATCCTATGACTTAGGCAAAGAAGACCTTGTCATACCCAATTCACAGAAGAAGAAATTGATCAGAGATTTTGAAATGATCAGAGAAAAAAATCAGAGATTTCCTAAGACCAAAAGGTTAGTAAGTGACAGGCATGGATCTGGGACCCAGATCTTTTTATTTCAAACCTTTGCTTTTCCTCCTAGTTAACCCTTCATACATAACCCTTTCTACATACATAGACCTTCATACATAAAATCCCAAACAATGTCTTTCTTACTTTGTACAGCAGACCTGAAAGTACAGGCAACTAGGAAATGTCAAAACATGTAGTAGAGCTTTTGGCCTTGAACCAAGTACCTGAACCTTTTTCATGTCAACCCAACCAAACCCGAAATACCACATTGCTCCTGGTTCTGCTCCCCTAATGTTACTCAACACTCTGGAACTATTTATAATAAAGCTATACAAGAAACTGTGGTAGATAATTAAAAAGAAAGATGAACAGTGAAACTGAAACAATTCCAGCAAATTTACACCCTCAAAAATCCCAAGAGAACTTTTCCATCTCTCTTGGTATCCAGTTCCCTAAACTTGTGAGAGAGTAGCAGACACCAGATGCATTCTGACCTGAAGAAGAATCATAACACACAGCCCAGACCTGGGCCAGTAGGAGTGGGGGAAACATTGGAGCCCATTTTCCCTTCATTCAACAGCTGCCATGCCATCCAAACTGGCTTCCCTGGGTCTTTATAAAGGAGGCATGCCTGGCATAAAACCATCATTCCTACCAATTATAATTTGTCTTAGACATCTCTATCCTCACCCATCTGTGCAAGTATTTGCAACACAGAATTTATGATTCACATTTGACATCACTCAACCACTATAGAAAAATAGAAGTGCCATATTAGGGCTCTGACAGAAGTAGTAAATGTGTGTTACTAAAGGAAATGATGATTGTCCAAGAATGTTAACTCCCAAAGTCAATGTGAGTCCCTAAATACCTCTATATTCCCTTAAAATAATAAGATTTAATAACAGAAATTAATAGACATCTTTATTTAACACTTATAAATATGTTCCTCAAATAACTATATATGGGTACTTTAGTAGTAAGTATCCTGCTTAGTTGAGAGTAAGTATCCTGTAATGTAGAGCTTCTCAACTTCAGCACTATGAGACTATGGGCTTGATAATTTTGTATCGTGGGGAGTGCCCTGTGCATTGTAGGATGTTTAGCAGCATCCATGGCCTCTACCCACTAGATGTCAGGAGTACTCCCTAATTTTGATACCCAGGCATGTCTCCAGATCTTACCAAACATCCCCTGGGGATAAAACTGCCCCTGAATGAGAACCGTTGGTGTAATAGACAATGGGTCATGTTAAAATTTCAACTCCATCACTTAATAGCTGTGTGGATTGGACAAGTTACTTAACTTTTCTGAACCTCAGATCCCTCTTCTATAAAATAGAGGATGTAATACCTACCTTGTGTGATTTGTGAGATTTAAAGATGCCTTATATGTAAAGTATGTACCTGTACAGAAGAGGGAATCAAAAAACATATGCATATTGGGGCGCCTGGGTGGCTCAGTTGTTAAGCATCTGCCTTCGGCTCAGGTCATGACCCCAAGGTCCTGGGATCGAGCCCCGCATCGGGCTCCTGCTCAGCAGGAAGCCTGCTTCTCCCTCTCCCACTCCCCCTGCTTGTGTTCCCTCTCTCGCTGTCTCTCTCTCTGTCAAATAAATAAATAAAA